AAAAAAAAAAAAGAAGAAAATTCTATCACAGGCTACAATACAGATAAACCTTGAGGACATTATGCCAAGTGAAATAAGCCAGTCACCAAAAGATAAATACTGCATGATTCCACTTATACGAAGTCCCTAGAACAGTTGAATTCACAGAGACAAGAAGCAGAATGGTGGTTGGGTTGCCAGGAACTGGGGGAGGGGTGGCGAAGAATGGGAAGCTGGTGTCTGATGAATTTGGAGTTTCAGTTTTACGGGAGGAAAAGAAGAGCTCTGCAGATCTGTTGCACATGATGTGAGTGTACTTAACCCTAATAAATTATATGTTTACCAACAGTTACAATGAAAAATGTTATGCGCATTTTACAATTATAAAAATAAATTCATACACACTAATAGCAGTCAAATCTTTAAGATTCCTTGCTAAGTGGAAGACGAAAGTTACAAACTGGTATGTAATACTAATCACGTTTTTTAGAAAAACAAAACAAACCAAGACAAGATTATCTGTATTTCTATGATATATTTCTATATATCTATATTTCTATTATATTTCTACAAAAATGTTTGGGAAAATGTATAAACTGGTAACAATTAGTTTGGGGCAGGGCTCAACTGGAGAGTGGTGATGGTCGAAAGTGGTTTTAGCTGTAATTATTATTATTATTTTTTTTTAATTTTTTTTTTTCAACATTTATTTATTTTGGGACAGAGGTGAGAGAGACAGAGCACGAACGGGGAGGCAGAGAGTGAGAGGGCTGCAATCTAAAACAGGCTCCAGGCTCTGAGCCATACATCAGCCCAGAGCCCCTGACGCTGGGCTCGAACTCCCCACTTTTGAGCCGCCGTAGGATCGCGGACCTTGGCAAAGAAGTCGGATCGCCAGAACCGACCGCTGCCACGCCTGTAAAATCCAGGCTCGGCTTTTATTTTTCACAATTATTTTAAGGTGTTCATGGAGTAACATTTTATTTTGAAAAAAAAAAGGTTTTAAAAAAAAAATTTTTTTTTTTAACGCTTATTCATTTTCTTTTGAGATATAGAGAGAGACAGAAGCTACGAATAAACCCAGAGGCCCAGAGAGAGGGAGGTGCAGGCACAGAATTCCTGAAAACAGGCTCCAGGTCTATTGTCAGCACAGACCCCATCAGGCCTGACACTGACCGTGAGATCGCGGTGATCTGAGCCGAAGTTTGGGAAGTCGCCGCTTAATTGACTCGGAGCCACCAGGCGCCCCCCAAAAAAAGGTTTTTTAATGTTTATTTATTTTTTGAGAGAGAAACACAGAGTGCAAGCAGGGGAGGGGCAGAGAGAGAGGGAGACACAGAATCCGAGCAGGCTCCAGGCTCTGAGCCGTCAGCACAAAGCCTGACGCGGGGCTTGAACCCACAGACGGCGAGATCACCACCTGAGCTGAAGCCGGACGCCCAACTGACCGAGCCACCCAGGTGCCCCTCATGTAACGTTCGTTTAATTAAAGGCTAATAAAGAGAATATTCCTCTCGTAAAAATCAGGGGGATTCAGGAGTTCCTGCTGCAGAGCACACTCCATGCTGATTGAGCAGCTTTGCACACACCCCAGGACACGCATGTGCCCTAGTTTAAGAATTTTTTTTTTTTTTCAACGTTTATTTATTTTTTGGACAGAGAGAGACAGAGCATGAATGGGGGAGGGGCAGAGAGAGAGAGGGAGACACAGAATCGGAAACAGGCTCCAGGTTCTGAGCCATCAGCCCAGAGCCCGACGCGGGGCTCGAACTCATGGAGCGCGAGATCGTGACCTGGCTGAAGTCGGACGCTTAACCGACTGCGCCACCCAGGCGCCCCAACATGTGCCCTAGTTTAAAAGAGGAACATGGGACTGTGCCAAAGACTCTGCTAGAATTCCAAGAGCTAAGTTACAGCTGTACTCAGCCAACCATCTCTTCAAACCTTGAGACCGTTACGTGCCCCGGTTCCCAAGGGGAAGCACAACATCTTCCTGAAGTGGTAGAAAGAATGACGAACTGCAGACAGAGGGACTGAATTTTCCACAACTTTGTGCTCAGTGGCTCTGATGAGATGGAACAGACATTTGTAATGAAGCTGACAACCACGAAAAGTCTAATTACTACCTGCCAGCCCATGTCCCAGGCCTGCCCATAAGCGGCCCAAAGATATCTGAGAACCGGCACGAAAAGACTCTTGACAAAAGGGGCGCCTTCAGTCCGTTGAGCATCTGACTCTTGATTTCAGGTCAGGTCATGATCTCACAGTTTGTGGAATCGAGCCCCACATCCGGTTCTGTGCTTGGGATTCTCTCTCTCCCTCTCTCTCTGCCCCTCTCTGGTGTGCGCTCTCTCTCTCTCTCTCTAAATAAAAGCAAAAAGTCTTGACAATAGAATCATAGGTGGGAACAGTAACTTGTATAAACAGATGTTCTCTCTCAAGTCCCACCGAACATAAAATCTAGACTCGAAAGAGTTGGGACATGTTTACCAAAAAAACCCCACTTTTGGATTATCACTTCTAAGAGAAAATAGGATTCCAAAGCTGCTAGCGGAAAGATCTCGCGGCATTAATGAGCAATGTTTGCTCCAGCTTAGCGGTCACAGACGTGGACAAGAATACAAGACTGCATCTGACAAGGTCTCATTTCAATTGGAGCCTGAAGCAGGTTAGCAGCTGCCCACAAGAGCCAACGGTGCACAACTCTGTTAATCCGCACTACCACTATCTCCAATATCATTCTGCTTAGCCTCAAATCGGTTGTGGGGGGCGGGGCTAGTTACACCACAGAAATCGACAGATGCTATAAACCCTTTCTTTACCAGCATCCTACTGCCTGTTCTGTATCCCAGTGGCAGACCACTTCTTTTTAGAAGCTTCTTCCATTCAATGGAGAGAGGGCGATTCTCTTTTGGATAAACTATCTTTTACTCACAGTTCTTTGAAGCATCTGTATTAGAACTCTATCTCCAGGAGTCAAGAAATGGTTTTGAAATCATGGAGTGTGTTTTGGTAGTAAACAGTATAATTTAGCTATTACTTTTCCTTTAAGAAGTCAATGGCGTCAGAGACGCATCCACACACACATGGTATGTATATGTTCTGATCTGTAAAGTGTGTTCAACAGATGTGTGCAAGTGCCTACGTGTACACGATGAAACTTCCAGCGGAAACAAAGAAGCGTAGTCTGGTTTCCAATAGTTGTCAGTTTCAAAACACACAAACCTCTAGCTTGCTTCTAATTTAAAAATAAATGTTGGGGCGCCTGGGTGGCGCAGTCGGATAAGCGTCCGACTTCAGCCAGGTCACGATCTCGCGGTCTGTGAGTTCGAGCCCCGCGTCAGGTTCTGGGCTGATGGCTCGGAGCCTGGAGCCTGTTTCCGATTCTGTGTCTCCCTCTCTCTCTGCCCCTCCCCCGTTCATGCTCTGTCTCTCTCTGTCCCAAAAATAAATAAACGTTGAAAAAAAAAAAATTAAAAAAAATAAAAATAAAAATAAATGTTAGTTTTCTAAACAAAGGTTTTAGGAGAGCGATGGCAAAGAAAGCCAAAAGAAGCAGCAGGGACGTTTAACGGTGAAACATACAGAACTTCATCTTAATCTCCGGTCGTTCAGAAGACACCACAGGATTTTGCAATGTGCTCCAACACCAGTGTTGGTCCAGTGACTACAACGATGTTTGTGGCGTCAGCCTACATCCTGGGCAGGGGACAGTCAAGTATTTTTGGTACCAATACCATTTTAGTTCCACGCTCCCCGAGTTCTAGCAATATGTAAATACGCTCTGCAGGGAAAACGAATTACGGGTGTCCTCTGCTTCTTGCAAAGTCAGGTGACACTGCTTTGCTTTTATGAAAGACCTGCCTTAGTGTCAGTTTTTGCGAACCAAAAAAAAAAAAAAAAAAAACAACCGAAGAGAACTTCTGCTTTTACAAAAGAAGGTGAAAAGGCAACATAACACTCAGCACTTGTTTCGCAGCGAGCTGTTCTAGAGGCCGGACTGGTGTCACCAAGCCCCCGCCCCGGGAACTCCACTTGGCGTCTCCGCATCAAGCTGCCAGAGCTTTGAACTCTCACTGAGCACCTGGGCTTTATCTCGATTCCGTGCTTCGTTAGCAAGATGTGTCCTGAAGTATCAGAAATGCCCGAGAGAGGTTATTCGGGGGGTCTGGGGACGCTCAAAAACCTTTTCATACAAATTAATGGTAACTACCTCTTTGCTTCACACCATTTCAGCTTACAAAAGGTTTCACAGGAATGCTCTACTCTCAGATAGCACAGAAATGTGTACAGGCACCTACACTCTCAATCACTTCTTTTTTGAATACAGCTGCCTGCCTTTTTCTGGACATCGATGGAGTAGTTTTTGAATGTGAAGAGTTACCTTATTGAAGTGATCTCCAATCACATGCCATATTCGGGACCACTGCAGCCGAATCCGATTCATGTTGTAGTATGAGATCTCCACGATCTTCTGCAAGCTGAACATGCGGGGGTGGTGGGGGGAGGCCAGCTCGTCCATGGACACGGCACACAACCAGCGGACAAAGTCAACTGCAGGCCGGACCCAACAACACATGCGAGGCTTCATTAATAACGACCAGAGAGTCACAACATGAGGATTCTGTAGCTGTCACATGTGAGTGACAAATACATACCTATGGCATTTCCATCCAGTCTGGTAGATCCAGTAAAAATTCTAGGAAGATAATTTCAGACACAGTAAGATCAAAGTTAGATTTGGAAGCTGAGTTTCAATTTCAAACACTGAAGAAAAGGCAAACAAGGAAACGTTTTGGGTCTGGTACCTCTACTAAAATAAATGAGGAGGCATCAGAGCACAGAACTGGTAAATGAACTGAGTTGAAAGCAGAAATGCCTACAACGGTAGAAAGAAAAAGCGACACATCAAAAGGAGGAAGGGGGAGTAAAGTATAACAGCATGTGATGTCACGACAGTGGGACACTGTCAACTAAATCAACTAAAGTTGATTATTTCAAATGTGTTCCAAGAACTTAAGGAAAGGATGAGAACAATGTCTCTCTAATAGAGAATATTAATATACTAAAAAGGTGCTCCTCCATAAGATGAACACAAACACACAAAATAATTTTTTTTGGCAAAAAAACTTACCAAAACCAACTCTTCTAGGACTGACTCTGGAAATTACCAAAGGCTGATAAAATGCTCATTCAAGAAAAATGGCTAAATCTTGGTATGAATAGAGGACATGAAGGTGTTTTAACTTGGCCTATTTCCATTACTGTCTCCCCAGCTCCATGGGAGTGTTGAAAACCAACAGCTCTGAAGTCAAAGTAACTGTGAGACCAGCAACCTAGCTCCACAGGAGAGAACAGAACAGTCCTGGAATTTCCCCCAAAATACCATTCTCAGGGAACTGACGTGTAACCTGCCTGACAGTACCCTGGGAACCCTCATTTCTAGGATTTGTCCATATTTGACACAGACCTCGTTCAGTTCAAACAGCCTTTTCTCTGGAGCTTTTGTCACAAGCAATCTGTGTAACCAATGAACAATGCAGCTACCTGAGTACGACCAGGTCAAACAAGGACCTGGGCGAAAATTTAAAAGGAAAAGTTGGGAATAAGGTGTCCACGGGAGACTTTAAAAAGGTACACCAGGGGCGCCTGAGTGGCTCAGTCAGTTGAGCGTCTGACTCTTGATTTTGGCTCAGGCTGTGATCCCGGGGGCATGACTGAGCCCCGCATTGGGCTCTGCACTGGGTGTCAAGCCTGTTTGAGATTCTCTCTCTCCCTCTGCCCCTCTTCCCTGCTCGCATGTGCACACATGCACATTCTCTCCCTCTTTCAAATAAAAATTAAAAAAAATATATTAAAAAGAAAAAGTAATAAAAAGCTCTACCATATTCCTGGTGATCTAGATAGCCATCACATGGGTAAGGCTTTGTACACACCCACGGAAGACAAGACAGGGCCCTAAGCGCTCATCTTTGGCAGGCCTTAAGGCACAACGCAACATGCCAGAGCATCAGAGGGGCACCCCAAAACACACTCAAAACTCCGCAGCAAAGGCTGGCATGCTTAACAGTCCCAGGCATATGGGATCTTTGTCCAATTCTTAGCTGATCACAAAGGCCAAATGAGCAGACAGTGGCTATATGCGAAAAGAATACAGGCTTTATATAGTTAGTTCAGGAAAGTCATTCAACAAACTAATAGCAATGACAACAATAATAAACCCTGGGTGTGTGGTGGGCAACCTGATACCCAAAGCTGTCTCAATGTATTTTTTTAAAGTATCAATTTTCAACAAAAAGTTGTTAAGACATGTAAAGAAACAAGAAGCGATGGCCTATTTACAGGTGAACAACAACAGATCCAGTCCCTGAGGAAACCTAGATATTGAATTTACTAAAGTTTTAAAGTTGATTATTTTATTTTTATTAAAAATTTTTAATGTTTATTTTTGAGAGAGAGAGAGAGAAAGAGAGAGTGTGTGTGTGAGAGAGAGAGAACAGGGGAGGGGCAGAGAGAGAGGGAGACAGAGGATCCGAAGCAGGCTCTAGGCTCTGAGCTGTCAGCACAGAGCCGGATGCAAGGCTCAAACTCACAAGCTGTGAGATCATGACCTGAGCCGAAGTTGGATGCTTAACCAACCGAGCCACGCAGGTAACACCTAAAGATGATTATTTCAAATATGTTCAAAGAACTTAAGGAAAGGATAAGAACAATGTCTCATTAATAGAGAATATTAATAAATATATTTAAAAAGTAATAAATAACCCAACAGAAATTCTGGAGTTGAAAATCATAAAACTGAAATGAAAAATTCACCAGAGGGGCTCAACAGCAGTTTTCAGCTGACCAAAGAGTTCGTGAACTTGAAGATAGGTCAGATGAGATTATGCCGTGTGATAAACAGATATAAAAAGAATTAAAAAGAAAGTGAACAGAGCCTCAGAGACCTGTAGGGCACTATCAAATATATAGACATACATAAGGGGAGTCTGAACAAGAGAGGAAAGAAAGGGGTTGGAAGAACTTTTGAAGAAATAATGACTACAAATACCCCAAATTTGATGAAAAACAATCTACACATTCTAGAATCTCAACAAACTCCAGTAAGATAAACTCAAGAGATCCACATTCAGACATATAATAATCAAAATGATGAAAGGCACAGACCATGAGAGAATCTTGGAAGTAGAAAGAGAGCAGAGATTTGTGACTGCATAATGGATCCTATGGAAAATGAAAAGCTGATTTCCCATCACAAACCATGGAGGCTAAAAGGCAGTGGGATATCATATTTAAGGTGCCAAACAAAAAGACTATAAGCCAAGAATTCTAAATGCAGCAAAACTTACCTTCAAAAATGAAGGAGTGACTAAAATATCCCGAGATACACAAAATCGGAGATGATTCATTGCTAACCAACCTACCCTATATGAAATATTAAAGGAAGTTCTTCAGGTTCTAATGAAAGGATGATAGAGAATAACTCAAAAGAATCTGAAGAAATAAAGAGCACTGGTAAAGGTAAGTGCGTGGGGAAATAGGTATTTCTTGTTTGTAACTCATTTTATTTACCGGATTCGAGGACAGCGAAGGTAATCATTGTAAACTGTGCTGATAGGCAGGTGTGTATAAGCATGTAAGTCATATGACAGCACAAAGGAGAGGGGAGAGAATGGAGCTATACAGAAGACATGTTTCAGACTATTCAAATTAAGTGGACATTAATTCAAAGTCAAATGTTCAAAGTTAAAATGTTACTAATGATGATCCCCAAAGCAATCAGTAAGAAAAACACTCAAAAAATATAGTAAAACAGACAAGGAAAGTAAAATGATACACTAGAAAATATCTTACCATATAAGAAGGCAGTGATAATGAAGGAACAGGAGAACAAAAATGACACATTTTTTTTTTAAATTTTTTTTTTCAACATTTATTTATTTATTTTTGGGACAGAGAGACAGAGCATGAACGGGGGAGGGGCAGAGAGAGAGGGAGACACAGAATCGGAAACAGGCTCCAGGCTCTGAGCCATCGGCCCAGAGCCTGACGCGGGGCTCGAACTCACGGACCGCGAGATCGTGACCTGGCTGAAGTCGGCCGCTTAACCGACTGCGCCACCCAGGCGCCCCATAAAATGACACATTTTTAAAAAGAGCAAAAGAGCGGATATAAATCCTATATATCAGCAATTAAATTATAATCAAATGTAAATAGATACTTTAATAGATATAATTAAAAGTAATAGACACTTTTCGGGATTCTCTCTCTCCCCCCATCTCGTGCTCTCTCTCTCAAAATAAATTAAATAAAAACTTAAAAAATGTCCAACCATCTGCTGTCCAAAGAGACTCGATTTATTGCATTATTATTATTTTGCTAAAGTAGGCTCCATGCCCAACGTGGGGCTTAAACTCGTGACTCTGAGGTCAAGAGTCACATGCTCTACTGACTGAGCCAGACAGGTGCCCCCAAAGAGTTTCGCTTTAAATTCGAAGACACAAATAGGTTGAAAGTAAAACAATAGAAAAGACACAGCATATCAAAAAGTAAACAAGGGAGAGCTGGGTGGCTGCACCAATATAAGACAAGAGATTTAAAAATCATTACTAGAGGGGTGCCTGTGCGGCTCAGTCGGTTAAGTGTCAGACTTTGGTTCAGGTCATGATCTCATGGTTTGACTTCAAGCCCCGTGTCGGGCTCTGTGCTGACAGCTCAGAGCCTGGAGCCTGCTTCAGGTTCTGTGTCTCCTCTCTCTCTGTCCCTCTCATGCTCATGCTCTGCCTCTGTCTCTCAATAATAAATAAATGTTAAAAAAAATTAATTAAATAAATAAATATCATTAGTAGAGACAAAGACTGTTTTATAACCTAAAAGGTTAAATCTGTCAAGAAAACATATAATTACAAACATATGCATCTAACAACAAACCCCAAAGTCACGAGGCAAACAGATAGAACTGGAAAGCAGAAATGGACAATTGAACCATGCCCAGAACCCACAAATCCATACGGACGGAATGAAGATTATGGGCTCAGGGACCACTGGCAGAGGAAATGGGGAGTGACGGCTAATAAGTACAGGGAGATGAAAATGCCCTGAAATTCCACAGTGGTGATGACCACACAACTCCAAATATACTAAAACCCACGGAATTGTACGTTTTAAAAGAACAGATCTTATGGTATGTGGATTTTATCTCGGTTTTTAGAAATGTAACAGCACAAGAGTGGTGTTAGGCAAGACTGCCTGTAGTCCGTGATGTGGCTGAGGCAGAGAAACAGAAAAGAAGTAAGTGTGGTTAGTGGAAGAACAAAAATTTTGTACTATTAGCTTAAACCTAACTGAAAAATGTGGGGGAAACCAGTCAAAAGTATGTTACAGAGAGTGTCTCTGTTAGAGAGAAACAGAGAAGCAACAGGAACAAGGTAATTAAATACACTGACAAAGAATTCAAAATACTAAGGATTGTCCTGAGAACAATACAAATTATGACAAAAATTCTGTACGGCTGTCATCGCAAAATGGTCTATATTTAACGCACTGGACTGGGTCAATAACCAAACGAACAGCAGCGTACATGCTTATTCGGTGGTAAGTTTCAGGAGCGTGTTCATTTTAGAAAATTCACATTTCAAGCACTGGTACCTAATGAATGTCTTCAAATGAGAGTACCTGTGTTTCTCTCAGATGTTTAGGTCAAATTTCAAGTAAACAGATAGAATGGAAAGGTTCGGAGGAAAAACAAATGGAAACTATCAATTTGGCCAAGTCTCACTCACGGATATAGGCTTTAAATCTTAAACCCTTCTTGACATTTTTATGAAAGTAATTTCTATTAAGGAAACAAGGTAACCTAAAACATGAGCACAAGCAAAAAATCTTGTTTCTGACATGCTTGGTCACAAGGTTAAAGGTATAATTTTTCTTCAAAAGGTCAGGAGGCAATTCAGGTCCCAATTCAGATGAACGTGAAGGTTATGAGTGGCTGTGGATGCCACTTCCTAGCCTGAGTGATCTGGAGCTCACCACACTCACAAGAGGCAAATGAGCGGAGTCCAATAACGACACAGACGATGTGCCAAGCTACTGGACAGCCCAGCTTCGCTGGAGAACAAAATCATTACCTGTCCACAGCTACAACCACACTCTGCGAGCTGGTCTCACCAACCGACTCCTGGAAGCTGGCCATCTGTCTTTTATCCACGCCACCACTCACCAAATTACCTGGAACGCAATGTGCAAAAGTCAACGGTGCTTCAAAAACAGTCAAATATTTAGAACAAAGTATTCTGTGGCATCAATCTGCAGCAACAAGAGACATAAATGCGAAGGGTTTGTGGGAGGAAAAAAAAAAAAAAGCCCCAAGCCCCCTCAACTGATGACAGCATAAAATACATTCTTATTCTGTAAATACAAACTCCTTTGCTTGTACCAACCACCTCCTTTCCTTTACAGTCCTTTACATTTTTATAGTATTGAATGCCTATATTCAGGAAAACAAATACGAATTAAACAACCCTAACTTAGATCTCCTGGAAGATGTGATGGCTTCCACCTGCTGAATGGCCGGCATGCTTTCCAGGACTTCAGCCCAGCCATGCCTGTGTGCACCCTAAGGAGGCGATGCTATGACAACGCCTCCCCTCTCATACAGTCTGTGCTTTTAACATTACCCGGCACGATTCCAACCAGTGCAGTGGGACCTAGGAGCCTGCCCTCTGCCCTGAGACAGCCTGGGTTTGACACCCGCCTCTGCTAGTCCTTGCAGCGTGGTCTTGTTCGGGTCACTTCACCCCAGCCTCACCTTCCTCACTTACAAGATGGGGATGACAATCGTGCCAATCTCAATGAGTCGTTCAGAGGAATGAATGCGTTCAAATGTGTAAACGGAGTGTTTCGCATGTGGTCCCACACATCTGTTTGCCCCGTTTACTGTTACTGTTCTATCACTGATGGAGTCTCTTGATTCAGTGAGAAAGAATTCTACTTTCATGAGAATACCATTCAGTTAAAAGGTCCCCAAATGAACATGGAAGAGACGGTGAAGAATCCTTCTAAAAATCGAGAGATGCAGATAGCCACTAGGTACTAACGCTGCAGCCTTTCTAAAGCAAATGGCCCTCCACCCAATAGTTCTATGCACAGAAAGAAAAGTAATGCACCCTGATTTTGACAAAATAGGCATTTACTCAACAGTTCGAGCACAGATACGAGAGCCAGAGCAGCACTTGCACTTCCACGAATAAACATGCTGTCAGCTGGCACACAAGGAAGAGGTTTACACAACAGTCCTGCTGAGACAAGAAGCGTTTCATTCCGGTTAACTTGTGACTCCAGGATGGCCAGCCGTGGGGCCTGGTGTCTTACCAAGGCCAAGGCCCATGAACTCTTCTCCTGCTAACGTGTGGCTCTTCAGGCTCCCTTCTCTTTCACGTCCAGATCCAGACAAGTAGCGGGTTTTCACACCGGTTCCTATGAGCTGAGCAAGCTCCAGCTGGCTGATGCATTTCAATATCTAATGAAGAGAAGGCATGAAGAAATGAGTTCCTGGGGCACCCAGGTGGCTCAGTCAGTTAAGCATCTGACTCCTGATTTTGGCTCAGGTCATGATCTCCCAATTGTGAGACTGAGCCCTAAGTAGGACTCTGTGCTGGTCATGGAGCCTCCTTAAGACTCTCTCTCTTTCTCTCCCTCTGCTTCTCCCCCCCCCTCCAAAAAAAAGAGTATACTTATCTTGATGAGCACTGAGTAATGTACAGAAATGTTGAATCACTGTATTGTACACCTGAAACTAATATAACACTATATGTTAACTGTACTAGAATTAAAAAAAAATAAAAATAAAAAACAGTATCGGGGCACCTGGGTGGCTCAGTCGGTTAAGTGTCTGACTGCGGCTCAGGTCACGATCTCATGGTTTGTGAGTCCGAGCCCTGCGTCGGGCTCTGTGCTGACAGCTCGGAGCCTGGAGCCTGCTTCGGACTCTTTGTCTCCCTCTCTTTCTGTCCTCCCCTACTCGTGCTCTGTCTCTATCAAAACTAAATAAACGTAAAAAAAAAGAACAGTATCCGCTAAGGCTGAAGGAAAAGAAAAAAACCTCACATCTTTAAAATACAAAAAGAAACCAGTTCCCATTTCTAGCAATCTTAGTCATTAAAGAGTTCTTTGAAACACACAGCTTTTCAGGTGAGAATAAAATCTGAGGGTCTTAGGGTGGTTTCCCTACTCATGGTTAGGCAACCTGTTGAGTGTGGGCCTGGAAGACAGACTTCGCTATTTTTTTTTCAAACTATTAAAAAGGAAAAGAGAAAATGACAAAAAGAAAAGCTGGTACAATGGAGTTATGCCATATGGATGTTTAATGAACTCCTCAGACACATAAAACACTAGTTTCCCTGCTGCTCCATTAACTTGACATGGCTCGTCGTGAGCCTTTGTACCTGCTGTTCCTTATTCCTAGAATATGTGCCTTACGCTCTTCCCTATGGCTCACTTCCACCTCAGACACGTGTGTCCCTCAGAGACCTCCTTTAACTGCCCTGAGATCACACACCCTCTCCACCACCATCCCCTGGTAACACTTTTTTTTTCCCTTAGCACTTACCACGTTTTGGCGTTTTGCCATATATTTGCTTGTTCTGTGCCTTAAGTCCCAACAGGGCACCGACTGTTTTGCTCACTGCTGAATCCCCAGCACTTAAAATAGCTGATTATTGTTTGGCTGGCTGGCTGACTGAGAACATGCCCCAAAATGGGGGTGCGGCGGGAAGAAAGGCTGCACCTTTCCAGCCCTATGGGGTGGTTCTGGGGCTGAGAGGTCATCCCTGCACACAAGCCCTCTCAACTGAAACTTAGCTGAAGAAACAGAAATTGGTCTCAACTTCCACCAGAGGAAAAACTGGTTCCAAGAAACTGATTGTGGGACAGCGTGGAGATCTCCAGGTAAAGCCTTCCCAAGGGATTTTCACGGGAATTTGTGACTAAAGCTGAGTACTGCCTTTCGTGTTGACTTTATCATCCAATGTCAGAGTATGGGAGTCCATTACACCATGGAGCGCTTCTGTTATTACTTATAGACTGCCTTCCAGCTGACTGAGAAAGGTACTTAATTCTACCAGAAAGAGCTATCCTCTGCTCCATATACAATACTATTAAATTATTACCAGTAAACTATGAATTCCCTCCCTTTTCCAGAAGCTGAGGATGGCCAGAGTCTTGAGTATGTCAACAACCTGTGGCTGAGGGATTCTTGGTTCCAAGTCTGATTTCTCAAGGTTTCTGATCATCACATAGGTGGTAATTCATTTTCACATTTCCAGGTGTTGCTACAGACTTGGCAACCAGCGGGAACCCCACATAGATCATGCCTCCCAGGTTAAAAAAAGTTCTATGAAACAAAGTGGCTACTTATTGACTCATCAGACGTTATGACTCCTCAGAAGACAGGAAATTATTTCTTTTTTTTTTTTTTTTCAACGTTTTTATTTTTTTATTTTTGGGACAGAGAGAGACAGAGCATGAACGGGGGAGGGGCAGAGAGAGAGGGAGACACAGAATCGGAAACAGGCTCCAGGCTCTGAGCCATCAGCCCAGAGCCCGACGCGGGGCTCGAACTCACGGACCGCGAGATCGTGACCTGGCTGAAGTCGGACGCTTAACCGACTGCGCCACCCAGGCGCCCCAGACAGGAAATTATTTCTTAAAAAATAGGGGCGGCTGGATGGCTCAGTCGGGTTAAGTGTCCGACTTCAGCTCAGGTCATAATCGCACGGCTTGTGAGTTCAAACCCCACGTCAGGCTCTGTGTTGACAGCTTGGAGCCTGGAGCTGCTTCAGATTCTGTGTCTCCTTCTCTCTCTCTGCCCCTCCCCCACTCATGCTCTGTCTCTGTCTCTCTCAAAAATAAATAAACTTAAAAAAAAAAAATACACACAAACAAAAAAACCAGGGCTCCTGGCTGGCTCAGTCCCCAATCTTGGGGTCATGAGTTCGAACCCCACACTGGGCATAGAGATAAAACAAAACAAAACCCAAACCAACCCAACCCTCTCCACCCCCACCCCATGCAACTTCATCTTTTCTAATACAGAAAACTCCAGGATTGTGACAGAGAAAGGAAAGGCTGGGTGGAAGAGGACGAAGGTATGTGTCATGATAAGGGGGAGGAGGACAGCTAACACCTCCTGAGCCCTTACCACCTGCCAAACGCAGTTCTGATCCCTTTCGCGCCATGACCTCCCTTCTCCTCATGGCACCCCACAGAGGTACGGCCTGGGGGACTTGCAGGCCACACACAGGCAGGCAGAGGTGCACACCCAGCCAGGCCCCCCGCCAGTGCAGCTCTTTGAGTAATGAGGAGACTGGGGGCCCTTCCCCCTTAAGGACTCCGTGGGGCAGGAGGCAGCAATCTTCCCTCTAGGCGCCCACAGTCCCTGCAACTCTGCACTCTCTCACCTCCACTTTTTTACAATTTTCTCTTTAAAGCAAGAAGCAATATACACAAATGGTAGAGAAATCAGGTAATGTAACTTAAGGGAAAAAAGCAGAAAATAAAATGCCCACCTAATTCTATCACTGAGGATGTTAACGTTTTTCTTTATCTGTTCAAACCTCATTCTCTATGTACGTTTAAAATGAATTTTTACTTCATATACTGTGACCACCTTTCCATGACACAAAATCATTTTTATTTTTTTCTCTAAAGCCTTTTTAGAGACAGAGCATGAGCGGGGGAGGGGCAGAGAGAGAGGGAGACACAGAATCCGAAACAGGGTCCTGAGCTGACAGCACAGAGCCCGACGTGGGGCTCGAACCCACGAACTGCGAGATCATGACCTGAGCCGAAGTCAGACACTCAACCGACTGAGCCACCCAGGCACCCCTAAAGTCTTTTTTAAGACTCCATTCATTATTTTCCTTGTCATTTATTTGTTGAAGAGCCTGGTCATTCAGTCGGGGGGGTTTTCATCTCCTATAGTTGATGGACATGATCTCATTTACACATGCCTCTGGCCCCTAGATTTCCCGTGAACTGGCAGTACAGGCTTGGACTGACTAGGTTTGCAGGTGGGGGCAGAAGCATTTCGTGGGTGGTACTGTGTGCTTCCATCAAGGAGCACGTATGTCTGGCTGTCCCTCCCTTCAGCAACATTATTTCAAATGGCCTCATAACACTCTAAGGAATGGCGTACCACACTTTTGTTCTATTTTCTTTTATTTTAAAAAAAAAATTTTTTTTTTCAACGTTTATTTATTTTTGGGACAGAGAGAGAGCATGAACGGGGGAGGGGCAGAGAGAGAGGGAGACACAGAATCGGAAACAGGCTCCAGGCTCTGAGCCATCAGCCCAGAGCCTGACACGGGGCTTGAACTCACGGACCGCGAGATCGTGACCTGGCTGAAGTCGGACGCTTAACCGACTGCGCCACCCAGGCGCCCCTGTTCTATTTTCTTTTAAAGAGCAATGTCTCATTGCTGGGACATCCAGGCTGTTTCTCATACAATCTTTTTCCTATGACAACTAAAATTTCAATGAATGACCTTTCAAACACATGTCTGTACCCACAAATAATTATCTTTAGGTGAGCACCTTAGAATGTTATTTAAGGAAAAAACGTAAACCCACTGGCAATCTCCTTAGTGGCTTACTGTAAATGTTGACCTTTCTTTTCAGATCAGGCTCCCAGCTTTTTCTAAATCTATACACTGGCATTAGGAGCTTCCAGGAGGCGCATAAGGGCTGGGGAAGCAGCACTCGGGTGGGAGGAAAGCCACTGCAACACAGGTGTGCTTGTGCAACATGAACTGCGGGGGCGTGGGAACCCCATGAGGGGGTGCATGTGAACCCACCTGCCGTCTGCAGCCACACAGGCTGACTCTCAGATATGTGACATATTTGAAAGATAAGGGAAAACCCAGAGTTAAAGTCAGGCTTCACTGTAGTTCCAAAAATGCAACTGACCAAAGACAGATAGACAATGAATGAAAGGAATGCTGGGAGTCATCCTAAGAAAAGGCATTTACCAAGCTTTCAAAGGAAACACACCTCATGCCAGGAATTCCCAAGGTAGTTGCCATCGGTGTGTGCCACCGTAATAAGCGTCTTTATGGTGTCGATGTTTTTCTGCTTCATTTCTGTGATGCTGGAGCTGGCCGTCAGCAGGGAGAAGCGAGCAAGAGCCTGAACATAGGCGTCTCGCTCCAGCTGTAACGGAAGCCCAAACAAGAGACAACGCTCAGATTCCACCCTTAGCGTGACCGTTTTCATCAACTGGACTGTGTACTGGGCTTCTGACACCTTCTGTATACATATCGCCTAACAGACTTCACGCACATTATCAGGCCAGTTATTCGGTGCTGGCGTCCTCCTGTTCCCAGAATATCCCTGCACACCTCATGGCTGAGAGCCAGCTCTCTCCCTTGCAGCTGACCTCGGACTTAAGTTCCAGGTTCTATTCCCTCTGGAGGGAGTGGGAGAGGAATCTGTTGAATGTTAAGATCATCACATATACTCAGGGCGCCTGGGTGGCTCGGCTGATTAAGCATCCAACCTCGGCTCAGGTCATAATCTCATGGTTCGTGAGTTCAAGCCCCACGTCAGGCTCTCTGCTGTCAACACAGAGCCCGCTTTGGATCCTCTGTGCCCCCTCTCTCCCTGCCCCTCCCCCTGCTCTCTCTCTCTCAAAAATGAGGTTTTTTTTTGTTGTTTTTTTTTTTTTAATTTTTTTTTTCAACGTTTTTTATTTATTTTTGGGACAGAGAGAGACAGAGCATGAACGGGGGAGGGGCAGAGAGAGAGGGAGACACAGAATCGGAAACAGGCTCCAGGCTCCGAGCCATCGGCCCAGAGCCTGACGCGGGGCTCGAACTCACGGACTGCGAGATCGTGACCTGGCTGAAGCCGGACGCTTAACCGACTGCGCCACCCAGGCGCCCCTCAAAAATGAGTTTTTTAAATAGACATTAAAAAAATGTTTAAAAATGTTGAAATGTTTACACTGTAACATCTGCAGTAGGATCTGCAACAATCTTGCAAGGTAGGCCTATTTTCTCAACTCTGCAAATGAGGAAATCGAGTGTCTTACAGAGAAGTTAGCTGGGCCAAGGTCACATGGTTAGAGAAGTAGCACAGCTGGGTTCTGAAACCCAGACTGAGGTCAAAGCCTGTGGTCTTGGTACAGCAGAAAATGTCTAACTGTAAAGTAAGCAGGAATAGATTTGAGTTTTTCAAAATAAATGGGTACAAATTCTTATTTAAGAAGTAATGCATGGAACTGACGATTTCCTAATTTCCTAGCAGTTTGAGAATCTTACTCTGTTCAGTTGCTTGCGTTTTTCAAGATTCAAAGGTTTACAGACACATTCATTTTGCAGTAAATTATTAGTCTCTCCCAGAGAAGACCTAGATATGAAGGAAATTATAATAAAAACGGATCTTAAAAGGAAAAGTAATATTTTAAGCACTAGGGCACACAAATTAGTCAGACGGATAGGAAGTCTGTTTTGTCAAGCCCTGTCAAGTAGCTTGAAACCCACCCACCCCTAAAGAAGGTTATAATCCAAATCTCCAATTCTTCCCGCAGAGGAGACTGTTGTCAGCACAAATCTGTGGGTTTCCTCTCAGCAGGCATGAGTAAGGAGCTTGCTGAGAATTTCTGGCTCGGTGGAAATGTCTGGTAGCTTCTAAGTTTTGCCAAATCCAAAGGCACACAGCCCACCAGGATCGCTGGAGCTTTGTTAAACTCACCTGCATTCCAAAGATGCAGGCAATCCGGACTGCACACCGGATGCCCTCCAAGCACAGGGAGGCCACTTCTGTGTCGTCACAGTTCTGCAGTCCGATGCTATAGGCGGCCAGCAGTGGTGTCCACACCAGCTAAAAGGGAGCAAGGTTTCAAATGCTACAACTGTAGCATGGCAACAGCCGTTAGAGACCACACTGCCACTTATGAGCACAGGCAGGATGCCAGAGTCATCACTATTTTGCTTTCAGCCTATTCCATTCACAATATAAAATAGTTCCTCCTGATCTGTGGTCAAAGGTATCACAACAGCACTACAGATACGCTCTTTACTAGACGTGTGGTTCAAAAGGAAGGAAGATAAATACGTGGCTAGAGTACCTGCGCTCGTGACAGACATCATTAATCAACTGGAGGGCCCACTCCCTCCTGAGTCTATTCAGGGCACGAGAACCCTTCATTCACAGTGCAGCAGGCAGCCATTGCCAATCAGAGGCTGGCATGCAAAATAAAACCTATAAGTCACTTATATTCTATAAACTTAGTTTACTGAAAGTTTCCTAGTTCAAATTATTTAGACTTTATTTTTCCTCCAATTTTGTTGTGAATTCCCTGGAAATAAAGCTTCACAAAAATCTAAGAGGATATTGATAGTTACTATAAAAATATCTTAGAGAAAAATTATGTGCTATGTATGTAAAACATGTATCTTTTCTAGACATCTTAAAAATAGAAGGACTTCAGGACATTATTCTTTACTTCCAGCTAATTTCATCTGGTAAACTAACCCTGAGGCCACTGAGGTGAGATGTTAAAATGATCTCTTTTGCCTGAATAATTATTCATTCATTCAATACCCCCGCAGCTCTAACAACAACCCTGTATTTGTCCCCATTTTACAGATGATGAGACGCTGAGTAACCCGAACCAGGTCACAGAGCTATGAAGTGGCAAACCAGCCATTCCGACACAGAGCCCGTGCCTGTGGCCAGTGCTGGTGCATCCCCGGCATCATAAGGGCTTCTGGGAAGGACTCACTTTAGTTACCATTTAGACAGAAGCACCCAGACTTGGCCTTTCCTCTCCTCAACCTCTTCACCATCACAGGATGGCTGGTTAGCTTCTAGCTGGTCACCTCCAGAATCAGGCTGAGCCGGGTCCTCACTTCTCAGTATACTCACCTTGAACATTGGCCGGACGTGGTCCAAGTGTGTGGCACTTGTGAACGGGGCTTTGGCATGGCTCACGGCCTCCATCAGGGCCTTGGCTGTTCTAGCCATTTGCTCCATCTCCAGATTGTACAGCAGCCGTCGCTGTTTTTCACTAGCTACGCCTACAAAGAAATAGGGGAGTGTGACACCCACGGACAGCTTGCTATGTGCTAGGCACACAAGTCCCCCTGACCACTTCCATGAGCATGTTCGGAATATTACCACTTTACTGAAGGAGGAAATGAGGCAAGGAGAGGCCTAGTACCTCGGCCAGTAAGTAGCAGAGGTGGGACCTGAGCCCAGCCAGCGTGGCTCTACAGCCGGTGCTCTAAACCCCTACACTGGGCTGAAACTGATCGTGCCGTGGGCCTTACCTAACAGAATCCTCACCAACGTTGGCACAATCACCAGTGGCATTAAAGCAGTTTCAGGGAACATTTTGTGGGGGTAATTTGGCTCTCAGATCACTCATTGAAATTCTTTCTTGTAGCTAATCACAAATTTAGCAAGAAGATGGTTATAATTATGAAAAGACTCAACATAATCACAATAACTAATTTAAACACATTTGCTATTCAGATGTCTAGATACACAAATTAGATTTATTATCAAGGGACTTAATCATGCACTCTAATACACTTGAAATTTAGAATAAAAATAATTTGCCATTAGACCTTACTCTGCTTAGTTGATTTGGTTGCGATCGTATGCTCTTTTGTTTCTTTCATTGCAATTTTCTTGCCTTCTATTTCTTCATATATACTTGAGAGGTATTCTTCCGGTAGGTCTTTACTATCATTGATACCCCGATTCATTTTAATATACTGTTCTTTTGTCATTTTATTTTTTACCTGAAATTAAAAAAAAAAAAAAAACAATTTAGAAACCATCCAGTGGTCCAAATAAAGCTCCTTATTTAGCTGCTGCAATATATAAATCACTAAAATATTTTACCTGAGGGCTGTGCAAGTCTGTAGTTAGCATGATAATGGAGTATGCTAGGACATATGCAGTGTCAGCACTAGCAAATAGGGTTTGCCTGGAAGAGAAGGTTCCAGATGTAAGAACATGCACAGAGAGGAGGCGAATGGAGACATACTGCACTGAAAGCGGGCTGACCGTTCCACGTGATGGCAAACTAGTCAAAAGCATTCATCCTTTCATCATCACTGAATAACAATTACTAATGACCCTGAGTGTAGAAAAAGCTAATCAAGAAACCATGTCAAGCTTTAGATTTCTTTGCATAACACAGTTTTAAGTAAAGTTTTAAAGGCCTAGGGATCAGGGTGTGGCAAACAAGACACCCAGAGCACAAAATGCAAGGAGACCCTCACTCCAACCATGAGCGTGAGGCCCCCTTCTAGTCTGCACCTTTGTGCCTCACTTGCCTCACCCTGGTCCTGTTCCTGAGAGCATCTACTTTGTTTTTTTAAAAATTTTTTTTTCAACGTTTTTTATTTATTTTTGGGACAGAGAGAGACAGAGCATGAACGGGGAAGGGGCAGAGAGAGAGGGAGACACAGAATGGGAAGCAGGCTCCAGGCTCTGAGCCATCAGCCCAGAGCCCGACGCGGGGCTTGAACTCACGGACCGCAAGATCGTGACCTGGCTGAAGTCGGACGCTTAACCGACTGCGCCACCCAGGCGCCCCAAGAGCATCTACTTTGTGCTGGGCACTGGGTGTAAAGAGGACAAGAACTGCTGTTCAGGGACACCTGGCCGGCTCAGTCAGGGGAGTGTGTGACTCTTGATCTCGGGGTCATAAGTTTAATAAGCCCCATGTTGGGGGCACCTGGGTGCCTCAGTCGGTGGAGCATCTGACTTCAGTTCAGGTCATGATCTCACAGCTCATGGGTTCAAGCCCTGCGTCAGGCTCTGTGCTGACAGCTCAGAGCCTAGAGCCTGGAGCCTGCTTCGGAGTCTGCCCGTCTCTCTCTCTCTGCCCCTCCCCTGCTCATATTCTCCCTCTCTCTCAAAGTAAATAAACATTAAAAAAAAAAAGGTAAATAAATACAAATGAAAATAAAAAAATAAGCCCCAAGTTGGGTGTAGAGATTACTTAAATAAAATCTTAAAAAAACAGCTGTTCAGTTATTGTTTATAGCTTACATTCCCCACTGTAATACTGAACAGCAGACATTTGAAGAAAAATACATTGTTCTAAATAATAAGCTGAAGTCTGACTGTTTTTTTGCCCAAGGCAAGAGAAGAAAGGCAAAAACTGGTGGATGCATAGCCTCAAAAACATGTGAGGCTGAAGCTACAAAACTGGTCTGTGTCCACATCGCCCCCAAAAGGAAAGGGAGACACTCCGAAGAATATAACGAAAAGACCGATTCCAAAATAAAATTCAATTGGGTCACATGTTTACTGATGAAGAGAAACAAATCAAGGCATGAGGCTCACACAGGAGACTATGTTCAAAGGAAACAAAATCTCATTATGCCTTTGTAGCAAATTCTAATGTCCACTTGGTTAAAATGACCAGGTGCTGCCTTTATTGTCCGTGTCTCAGAGGGAACAGCCGGCTGTGCACCTGGAGCATCAGGACCAATTAATATGAAAACCAAGTTGACCTGAGGCAAAACTGTTCTCGAAATGTCTCCACTGAACAATCTCCATATCATGTTCAAGTACATTCAGAAATTCTGCACTTCGTGCCCACTGGGAGCAGCATGAGCTTTTGAGTTAGACAATTCATATTCAATCGTATTCTGCTACTTGCTGGCCGATTAGCTTTTGGTCAGGTTGCTCAATCTCCCAGAGCCTCAGTTTTCTCGTCTATAAAACGGAGACCTACTCACAGGATTACCATTAATTATGAAAAACCCATGGCATGACAGACATATAAGAAATATTTAATAAAGGTTAGCCCTCTTTTTAATTTCCACTTCTACAAAAAAAACATGAACTACCCACCAAAAGAGGCCCTAAGATGAAATCATGTATTTAAGGCAGGTTTTATTAGTTATATAGCCATTTCTGTAACCTGCTCATTAGTTAAGTAACCAAAGAAAAACCAAAATCCTTGAGATCTACTCTGTATGTTAAATCGGGGAGCTGTTTTTTGGTTTTTTTTTTACAGTACTTTTTTGTTTTTTATTTTAGA